AAAGATTTTGCTGAGTACATTTTTATAATGGGAAATTTTCTCCAGATTTTTTAACTTTTCCACAAAAATGTGTAAATTTATTTTCGAACCATAAAAAATTTCTTAAAAATTTTAAAATTTTAGCACCCTTAGATCAGACTTTTAGATCCTATTCAGGATTTTCATACATAAATTGTGTTTCCTTTTCATAATCGATCCAATTGACATTGGTGATGGATTGTGTTTTACCGTACTATAAATTTTACTTCCCAATTGTTTTAAAAGCTCCATTTAATTTTTGAAGGTAAAATATCGGCAAAATGCCGATAAATCGGCAAATCTGGCAGGCCTGCTTAGTCATGAGTTGATGGAGGAATCGGAAACTGATACGAGTGATGAGTGAAATATATTGTTGGCCTACTTATGTACCTTTTTAATATAATAAAACTAACATTTAAAAAGTTAAAATACTAATAATGTAATAAATTTCATTAATAATTTGATTTTGTATATTTTTTTTCTCCTATCCCTTTTCTCTTACTATCAAGTTTGATAAATAAATTTTGCCAACTGTTTTAAAATACATATATACAATTTTTATATATCAAGTATTATGGGAGGTAGGCGTGTCTTTGGAAAATTTTTCATAGAAATATTTATTTTTTGTACATTTACCATTCTAATTCTAACAACAATTTCAAATGCTTTTTTTATTATTCGAGATATATGGGCGTGTCCCTTCCCCGATTTTCACAAAACTTTGTATTTTTCTACTTACAAAAACATGTTATGCCAATTTTCGATCCTCTACGGCCAACATTTATATTAAATCAAAAAAAAAAAAAAAAATCAATGGTCATGGCATTGAAACGATTTTTATAAAAATTTAGTATATTTTGTCCATTTACCTCTTTTGTTCCAATTTTGCTCATTTCGGTTAACATTTTCAAATAATATGCAACTTTTATTATTCGAGATAGTTAGTTTGTTAGTTAGTTAATTAGTTAGATAGTTAGTTACTTTGTTAGTTAGTTAGTAAGTTAGTTAGTTAGTTAGTTAGTTAGTTAGATAGATAGTAGTAGTTAGTTAGTTAGTTAGTTAGTTAGTTAGTTAGTTCGTTAGTTAGTTAGTTAGTTAGTTAGTTAGTTAGTTAGTTAGTTAGTTAGTTAGTTAGTTAGTTAGTTAGTTAGTTAGTTAGTTAGTTAGTTAGTTAGTTAGTTAGTTAGTTAGTTAGTTAGTTAGTTAGTTAGTTAGTTAGTTAGTTAGTTAGTTAGTTAGTTAGTTAGTTAGATAGTAGTTAGTTAGTTAGTAGTAGTTAGTTAGTAGTTAGTTAGTAGTTAGTTAGTTAGTTAGTTAGTTAGTAGTTAGTTAGTTAGTTAGTTAGTTAGTTAGTTAGTTAGTTAGTTAGTTAGTTAGTTAGTTAGTTAGTAGTTAGTTAGTTAGTTAGTTAGTTAGTTAGTTAGTTAGTTAGTTAGTTAGTTAGTTAGTTAGTTAGTTAGTTAGTTAGTTAGTTAGTTAGTTAGTTAGTTAGTTAGTTAGTTAGTTAGTTAGTTAGTTAGTTAGTTAGTTAGTTAGTTAGTTAGTTAGTTAGTTAGTTAGTTAGTTAGTTAGTTAGTTAGTTAGTTAGTTAGTTAGTTAGTTAGTTAGTTAGTTAGTTAGTTAGTTAGTTAGTTAGTTAGTTAGTTAGTTAGTTAGTTAGTAGTTAGTTAGTTAGTTAGTTAGTTAGTTAGTTAGTTAGTTAGTAGTTAGTTAGTTAGTTAGTTAGTTAGTTAGTTAGTTAGTTAGTTAGTTAGTTAGTTAGTTAGTTAGTTAGTTAGTTAGTTAGTTAGTTAGTAGTTAGTTAGTTAGTAGTTAGTTAGTAGTTAGTAGTTAGTTAGTTAGTAGTAGTTAGTTAGTTAGTTAGTTAGTAGTTAGTTAGTTAGTTAGTTAGTTAGTTAGTTAGTTAGTTAGTAGTTAGTTAGTTAGTTAGTTAGTAGTTAGTTAGTAGTTAGTTAGTTAGTTAGTAGTTAGTTAGTTAGTTAGTTAGTTAGTAGTAGTTAGTTAGTTAGTAGTTAGTTAGTTAGTTAGTTAGTTAGTTAGTTAGTTAGTTAGTTAGTAGTAGTTAGTAGTTAGTTAGTTAGTTAGTTAGTTAGTTAGTTAGTTAGTTAGTTAGTTAGTAGTTAGTTAGTTAGTTAGTTAGTAGTTAGTAGTTAGTTAGTTAGTTAGTTAGTTAGTTAGTTAGTTAGTAGTAGTTAATTTCCAGACAAGTTTCTAAACGCAAAAAGTTTTGTAGTAAGATAGTAATCGGATTTTATTTGATAAAAAAAATTAAATTTGAATTGGAAATAGCCTTTTTTGCGAAGGAATTATATAAAATTCGTCCGAATTATGTAGAATTTTATACAAATTTCCTAATATTTGAACCTGAAAAAAAAAACAATTCAATTGTTTTATAAACGCTAGATTGACATTGATTGTTATGATTTTTCACAACAAGCATATTTGAAAACTGATTTATAACAAATAAAATTAATTCACTTACAAATAATTTTTTCTTGTTCTTGAGTTATTAATTTATATTTTTCAACCATCCCAATAAACCAATGAACGATATGATAGCGAAAACGGTATTACTTTTTTAGGTAGATTATGATATCACATTTTATTATTGAAACCGATATTGTTATAATATCGATTTTGAATATTTTTTTTTAAATAAAAACATTTTTTTTACTATCGTTATTTTTGGAAATTATGATAGCGAAAACGTTATGATAGCGAAACGTTTATGGGAAATCTATATCATAAAGAAAAGTACCATTTAGTACATAAATACTAGTTCAAGATACGAGAATTACTATCACATATGATAGTTTTTATCACCTTAGTGATATTGTTTCGATATTATTATAATATCGATTGGTTTGTTGGGTTATGAGAATTATCTATTAAGTCCTTAAACAGCAATTCTATATAATATTTTTCTATGGACATGTTTACACTATAAAATTATGGTAAAATACAAAAAGAAGTACAAATACTAAAAATATGCACATTTGTGCAGGTAAAAGTACAATCTATATATATAAAAATGAATGTGTGTTTGTTTGTATGTTTGTATGTTTGAACGTTATAGACTACTAAACGGCTGAACCGATTTTCTTGAAATTTTCACAGCATATTCCTGCATGTCTGGAATAGGTAATAGGCTACTTTTTATTTCGAAATTTCAAGTGGGCGATGAGCCACGCCCACATTAAGAAAATATAAAATCCGTATATTTTAGATAATATAACAGTTAGAGTCCTCAAATTTTGTCGGAGCCACTTTAGTGTCAATATGATCATTTAGGACAAAAAGTAGGCGGACTAGCATTAGGGGGCGTGGTACCTCCCATATAAATTAAATACAAAAATTCGTTTATCTGGGAAACTAATAGAACTAAATTCTTAAAATTTAGCACGAAGAACTTTAACATCCATATAAACATTTTGGGTAATAAATTGGCGGACTACCCATGAGGGGAGCGGCACCTCCCATATTAATTAAATACAAAAATTCGTTTATCTGGGAAACTAATAGAACTAAATTCTTAAAATTTTGCACAAAGAACTTTAACATCCATATAAACATTTTGGGTAAAAAATTGGCGGACTACCCATGAGAGGAGCGGCACCTCCCATATTAATTAAAAACAAAAATTCGTTTATCTGGGAAACTAATAGAACTAAATTCTTAAAATTTTGCACGAAGAACTTTAATATTCATCTGAACATTTTTAAGGAAAAAAGAGCGGACTTTCATCTGGGGGGCTTGGAGCCCCCATATGAATAAAATAGAAAAATTCGTATATCTGAGAAACAATTAGAGCTAGAATCATTAAATTTTACTTGAAGAACTTTGACATTCACCTGAACATTTAGAGTATAACGGGCGGACTTCCAATGGGTTACTTGGTACCTCCCATATGAATTAAATACAAAATTTCGTTTAACTGGGAAACTAATAGAACTAGATTCTTCAAATTTTGAACAAATTATTTTAATAATCATCTGAATATTTTGGAGGAAAAAGGGCGGACTTTCATCCGGGGGGCTTGAAGCCCCCACATGAATTAAATTCGTATATCTGAAAAACTATTAGAGCTAGAATCTTCAAATTTTACATGAAGAACTTTGACATTCATGTGAACATTTAGAGAATAACGGGCGGACTTTCAATGGGGGGCTTGGCACCACATATATGAATTAAATACAAAATTTCGTGCATCTTGGAAACTCTTATATTATTCAAATTTTTTGTAAATAGATAGAAATTGGCGATAGATAGAAACTGGCGAACTTGCAATAATTTGCTTGACATCTTTCATATGTAACATATAATAAATCTGGTATTTATTTATACATATTCCTTTTAGGGTAGCAAAGCACACTGGGTATAGCTAGTTACTTAAATAAAGTACGCGTACTACTAAAAACACTACGTCTGGCAAGTCTACTGATTTGGAAAAAATATTAAATATATTACAATTCCGGCTTACCCAAATTAAAAGCATAAAGTATAGAGGTGTCGCTTTTGACATTTACAAAAGTCTAAAATCAGCTTTTCTGCGGCTTTTGTAAACATACATATCGTCACCTAAAACGCAAACGGCCCTATCTAACATTTTTAAAATTTTACAGGAGAAGCAAAAAACTATTTATATTGAAAAGTTTGTTTAAAACAACGCGATTTATTTGTAGTAAATAATGAAATTGTGTAATAGTGGAACCTATCATTTGTTATAATAGTTGACAATGGCGTATATAAAATGGATAAATTGGACTTTTTAACTTTAATATTTAAATGTTTTTGTAGATAGTTTTATGCTCGTGACGCCTCTGTATACCTTGAGTTAATAGATGCCATCGAATCCTCTGTGCGATGCCAAAATTAATTAAATTGTTTGAAATAAATATCTAACTCACTGTATATTTTTGGTTGCCCTATTTATAATCAATGGAATTAAAATCTTTTATAAAAAAATTTGTTTTTAATTTCAGTGTGGATATACGAGAAGGTTATACGAAAGCTATTAAGCGATGGTCCGATGAAAGTGTTTTTGGAGAGAGAGCGTACTTCATATTTGACAAAGAACCCGGAACACTATCCATTCAAAGCACGAAGTTTGCTGACTCTGGAACATACAGATGTAGAGTGGATTTTTTAAGAGCTCAAACCCGCAATAGCAAAATTACTCTCTCAGTTATAGGTAAGAATTTTCACAATAAAGGTTAATTTAAAATTTTATTTAGACAGTGTGCTTCGCTACCCTATTCGTAATGAAATAAAATACATTTACAATTTATTTTATATATAGATCTGCAATATCACAGCACAAGAATTCGAAATGTGACAAAAAATTAAAATTTTTAAGGATATATTGTAAAAAAAAAATTTTGTTAATTAAAAAATATCTGTAATAACCAAGGCAAAGATTTTCATGCACAAAAAATTAAAAATTTGCGCTTATAACATGCACTATAAAATGGGAATATATGCACTAAAAATGTGGAAAATATGTACCAAAAACTATTTCCTTGTGAAATTTATTTATTAACACTAATTTTTCTTATGTCGTATTTAAGTAAATTTTTATAGATATTTATAATTTAAGTTTTTGACAACAAGTATATAGTAGGTTCTTGATGACAGAGGTACCGCTTAATGTACTCTAATACCAATTTAACAGAATCACGATCTAGTGTCAAGTGACCCAACTCAAAAAATCGATTTGGATGAAATTTGCACCAGTACTATTGGATAGTAGGCCAGACACATAGGTCAAGAACTTTATCGGTCAAGTACTGCCGGAGTTAGAGGGGATCAAAGATAGACATTTTGGTCATACAGGGTTTTTTTTTCAATGAGTGTAGCTTTTCACTATTGGTCCTAAAATATGTAATACAAAAAAACATAACTTGTGTTAGAAAAATTAAAAAATATAAATATAAATGATAAAAATATGCAAAATATATGCATTTTAAAGCAAAATATGCAATTTATGCGCTTATAACAAAATATGCAAACATATGCAACAACAAATCGATGCCATTTTGTTGCAAATTCTATGATTCAAAAAGAAAACTACTTAAAAGTTATTTTGAGTTACTGACTACAAACATGCATTTGCATACAATTCCTTGCCCTGGTAATAACTCAAATATTTCTCTTTCAATGATAACGCAAACTTGTTCTCAGCTATGGTTAAAAAATTTGGATTTTTTCATCGGTCGTTTCAAATCTCCAATTTTAGTTTTTTTTTTAAAGTTTGTTAAACAAATTTTTAGGAGATCTCATGGGAATTAATGGACAATAGATAAGGGAATATAACGATAAAAAATAAGATAAATAATTCTTAAAGTTTAGCAGTACCTGCGATTTGAGCTCGGCAGATTTCGGGAAAATCACATTTTTTGGAATATTTTAGAGAATACGTATTAATTCTTTACTGTTGTACATTTTAAACACAGTATTTTCAGAGAATTAGAATAGAGAATAGATTAGATAATATAAAATATATATTCCAAATTTTATTCAAATCGGACATTCTTAACCCGTAAAATGTGGAGTTCAAAGGTCAAATTTTGCTATATTAGGGAATTCTTAGTGCACATATCGAAATATTATTTATTTGATGGTCATATTTACCAAAAATTACTGCAATTTATCATATAAAGTCCAATATTTAAAATAGAGTGAAAAAAGGTAAATTAACCCTTAAAGGCACTTGGGAACAATTTAACACCAAAGTTCAAAAATTCGAAAAAGAACTATCCATATGAAAAAAGCTCTATATAATTAGAGAAATAGCAGAAAGATAACAAAAACTTTTATATTAACCTCCTTATTCAAAAACAAAATTTTTATTTTATAAACAGTTTATAAATTAGATTTTGTATGGAAATTTTGTTTTTTAAACCTTTTATAAAATAAAAATGTTGTTTGTGAATAAGGGGTAAGTATAAATATCCCCCTTATTCATAAACAACATTTTATTTTATGAAAGGTTTATAAAACAAAATTTCCATACGAAATTTGATTTATAAATCGTTTATAAAATAAAATTGTGTTTATGAATAAGGGGGTAAATTTATACTTAACTAGCTATACCCAGTGTGCTTTGCTACCCTAAAAGGAATATGTATAAATAAATACCAGATTTATTATATGTTACATATGAAAGATGTCAAGCAAATTATTGCAAGTTCGCCAGTTTCTATCTATCGCCAATTTCTATCTATCTAAAAAAATTTTAATAATATAAGATTTTCCAAAATGCACGAAATTTTGTATTTAATTCATATATGTTGTGCCAAGCCACCCATTGAAAGTCCGCCCGTTATGCTCTAAATGTTCACATGAATTTCAAAGTTCTCCATGTAAAATTTGAAGATTCTAGCTCTAATAGTTTCTCAGACAAACACACATTCATTTTTATATATATAGATAAGAATATACAATTTTTTTGTAATTACTTCACGTGAGAGGCACCAAGATTGGGGACTCTAGATGTTATAGTTTTCTAGATATACAGATTTTAATAATTATATTTTAGTATTTACTTCATATGGGAGGTGGCACGCCCGCTTTTGCTGAACTCCCTATTTTTGTCCAAAATATTTGTATTTAAACAAAAGTTACTTGTACAAAATTTGGGCACTCTATACGTGGGACCTCGCTCATTTGAAATTTCAACATAAAAAGCAATTATAACTCCTTCCAGACATACAGGAAGATATTGTGAAAATTTCAAGAAAATCAGTTTAGCCGTTTAAACTGATTAAATAACAAGTAAGAAGTCTATATTCGCCTTTGCCGAATCTTATATACCCTTCACCATAATGTGTTTAAAAAATATTAATTTTATAAAATGTCAATTTATTTCATCTTCCCGACCCTGTCATAACTTAAGCAAAACAAGAGAAACAACAACAATGCTAAACGAAATAAAAAACAGAAAAAACAAAATACACAACGTAATGAAACCACAGCCATCCAAACATTAGAAACAATATACACAAAAAAACAAAAACAAAATACACAAGGCGATGAAGCCACAGCCATCCAAACATATGAAACGAAATACATACACAAAAACAAAACACACATCGCAATGAAACCAACCTTTTATACAATAAGCAGTGTTGTTGTTGCTTTTTTGATGAAATTTTCAGAGGTTGTCTCGGATTTTTGCTCATATCTCCGTTATTTATGGACCGATTTTGCTGATTTTCAATAGGAAACTTCTCGAAAGTATGTCCAACAGAATTATTGAAGATTTGGATCCCGAAGATATCTAGGGTCTTCAGAAAATTGATTTCAACAAACACACAGACAGACGGACATAGCTTAATCGACTCCGCTATCTATAAGGACTCGGAATATATATACTTTATAGGGTCGGAAAATTATAGAAATTACAAACGGAATGACAAACTTATATATACCCTTCTCACTAAGGTGAAGGATATAAAAAACCCAATTAACGATTTTGAAAATTCTAACTATAATAGTTCTCCAGATTAACAATATGTTACATATGAGAGATGCCAAGCAAATTATTGCAAGTTCGCCAATTTCTATCTATCTATGAAAAATTTGTATTTAATTCATATATGTGGTGCCAAGCCCCCATTGAAAGTCCGCCCGTTATTCTCTAAATGTTCACATGAATGTCAAAGTTCTTCATGTAAAATTTGAAGATTCTAGCTCTAATAGTTTCTCAGATATACGAATTTAATTCATGTGGGGGCTTCAAGCTCCCCGGATGACAGTCCGCCCTTTTTCCTCCAAAATATTCAGATGAATATTAAAATAATTTGTTCAAAATTTGAAGAATCTAGTTCTATTAGTTCCCCAGTTAAACGAAATTTTGTATTTAATTCATATGGGAGGTACCAAGTACCCCATTGGAAGTCCACCCGTTATACACTAAATGTTCAGATGAATGTCAAAGTTGTTCAAGTAAAATTTAAAGATTCTAGCTCTAATAGTTTCTCAGATATACGAATTTTTCTATTTTATATGGGGACTCCAAGCCCCCCCCCAGGTGAAGGTCCGCTCTTTTTTCCTTAAAAATGTTCAGATGAATATTAAAGTTCTTCGTGCAAAATTTTAAGAATTTAGTTCTATTAGTTTCCCAGATCAACGAATTTTTGTTTTTAATTAATATGGGAGGTGCCACTCCCCTCATGGGTAGTCCGCCAATTTATTACCCAAAATGTTTACATGGATGTTAAAGTTCTTTGTGCAAAATTTTAAGAATTTAGTTCTATTAGTTTCCCAGATAAACGAATTTTTGTGTTTAATTAACACACATGGTAGTCCGCCAATTTATCACCCAAAATGTTAACATGGATGTTGAAGTTCTTCGTGATAAATTTTGAGAATTTAGTTCTATTAGTTTCCCAGATAAACGAATTTTTGTATTTAATTTATATGGGAGGTACCACGCCCCCAAATGCTAGTCCGCCTACTTTTTGTCCTAAATGATCATATTGACACTAAAGTGGCTCCGACAAAATTTGAGGACTCTAACTGTTATATTATCTCAAATATACGGATTTTATATTTTCTTAATGTGGGCGTGGCTCATCGCCCACTTGTAATTTCGAAATAAAAAGTAGCTTATTACCTTTTCCAGACATGCAGAAATACGCTGTGAAAATTTCAAGAAAATCGGTTCAGCCGTTTAGTAGTCTATAACGTTCAAGCATACAAACAAACACACATTCATTTTTATATAGTTATACTTAATATAAAGTTTACTCCTTTTTGAATATGAAGTAAACTTGAGGTGTATATTAGGGTGGGTCGAAAAAAAAAGTTGAGTCAGTCACCCCCTACGATTAAAGATATGTTAATAACATTTCAAAAAATATAAAAAATATTTTTTTGCCACGCCTAGAAATACCGCCCTTTTGGTTTTTTATATATAACGTCGCCATTTTAAGTCCGATCGTAACATATAATATATCAATTTTTATGGCTTGACTGTAGCTATATTTCACTCTTTAACAATTTTTTAATTCGACGTCATATTCTATGCGCGACTTCTGATATCTCGGATCCTTCCCCAAAATCTAAAATTGTGGCTACACTGTAATAAAGTACATTTGATTATATGAGCTATTTGCTTCCAAAATGCTCACTTTTATGCATAAACAGCTATTTTACAGGTATTTAAAACTACCTGTATAGTTCTAACTA